TCCACAACCTCATTGCATCTTTGCAACTTCCATACATTTGGGCTGATGGTTACCATCCCCACTTCACAGATGCAGTAACTGGGGGTCAGGAAGGGGAAGGGGCAGGTCTGAGGCTAAAAGCCTTGACTAGAATCCAAGTGCTCTTTCTGAGATGCACTGTGTCTGTCTTGTCCTGATATCTACCTGGAAGCTTCCTGGCGCTCAGACCATATACCATCTGGCTGGAATGGTCCTCATTATTTGTTTTGCCATGTTGGGAATTGTTGCATCTTAATGGAAGCCTCATTGCCCCCTGACTTGTGACTTGACAGGGTTCAGCACGTGGACCTGGAGTCACCTGCAGGCATTCTCCCTCAGGAGGGAGCCCACAAGGCTCTTTAGTATTTGGTTTCCCAGCACCTCCAGCTGTCTCGTCAGTTTTCAGTCCAGTGTGATGGTAGCTGCAAACCCACTTCTTCCTATATTTAGCGCCCACTACTCCATGGACTGGACTAGGAGTCAGGAGCTCTGTGCTCTGAACCCAGTTCTGCCACTAACCTACTGCGGGTCTTGGGCCAGACCCTCAGTCCCTCTGGGTTCAGTCTCCCCACTCATAAAACCAGGGTCTTGATTAACTTGGCACCTTGAGATCTCAAGGTGGGGTCCAGTCTTCAGGTTGCCATTATTCTGACTTCTAGAACATGATCCTTTCAACTACCTTCAGCAACATCTCTCTCTCCCTATCTCTCTCTTCTGTGCAACTGGCCGGGAGGGTTTCATTGGCACATATTTCTCTCCAGACTTCCAAACAAAGCCCAAGGAATTTCCTTGATCCTTCTAGAGGAGGCCAAAGCTTTAGAAAACAGCTTACAAATATTGCCCATCTGAAGGCCTTGGTCCTCAGAAGAATTCACAGAGTACTTGATTTGTCTGAAAGATGGAATGCCCACAGAAGGGTCAAGGAGTCCTGTGCTCTGGTCCTGCCTCTGTCACTAACCCATGGGGTGACCTAGGACAAGTCTGCCCTGGGGTAGCATTGGGGAGCACATGTGTTATGTGGTACCAAGCCTGGACCAGGTGACCTCTCAGGGAACTTCCATCTCTACGAACCGTGCAAATCCTTACAGAACCAGGCTATTCATAACTTAGATTGCCCCCAGACTAAAATGTTCTGTTCTGCCACTGCAGGTGTCTGGAAATCTGAATGTGTGAAAACAGTCTCCTAGCAGGGGTAGAGCAGCATGCCCACAAAGACAGGCAGTTGGAGCTGGGACCAACTTTCTGCCCCTGTAGCAGGCACGGCAATGTACAGCTAAGTCTATACAGCCCACTGGAATAAGCTAGAAGGGTCCTTCTAGATCATCAGATCCACACTGCTCTTCATCTAGCTAGGGACACTAGAGCCCAGAGAGGAGAAAGTCCTGGATTCTAACTCCCAGGTTGTCAACTCAGCCACGACTTGCAGACAGTTCTCATTTCCTAACCCAAGTGTTCAGTTCTTCAGACTTAACCCCTCCAGACATTGCATTCAGCTGGGAAATGAATGAAACAGGGGTGTTTTTCTCCCTATGTTCTCTGCATTCAAAATTCCAGGGACATTACAGGATTCCAGCTGCATGTAGAACCACTTATTTATAAGTCACTCCTTCCTGTCTTCATAACCAAAAAAGAAAGTCATACCATGGACTCACAAGGTGATGCAGAGACTCAAGCCACATGGCTGATGTCCCATGAAATGTTCATCTCACTCTTGACAAGAGCTTAATGACCCTCAAACCAGCCCAGTGCATGTTTGAACAGCACTAACAGGTCAAACATTTGAGCTGCTGGCACTATAACTTACAGTGTGATCTCTCTGTCCTTCATGAAGGTCTGCCCATGGCCTCATCTGAGAAATGGGAATGAGAGCAGTGTTAGCCATTAGCTGAGGGCATCATCTCCTTAAACTTCCACTTGGAGCCTTAGTGTTTGGGCCCCACAGAGCAGGCTGCACTGTCTTCCTGCTGACAGCTTTGTCAGCTGTCAAAGGCCAGCAGTTGGCCCTCCTCTAGGTTCCTCTCCAGGTTCAACAGCCCCATCCCATCAACAGCTTCTCTAGAATCCTGGTTCCCAGCCCCTTTCTCTTAGCCAGCTCTAGCAATGTCATTCTTAGAGGGGGCTGCTTGTGTTTTTCCTTTCGCTTGAAACCATCTAAAAGATTCTTTAAGAAAAACTAAAATACACCATGCCATTTGACTTCAGGAAATGCAAATACTTCAAAATAAGTTTTTTTTCCATCCTTGGGTTTCTCAGAATTACAACTGAGGTCAACCCAGAAAACATGCAAAGACCAAAGGGGAAAGAAAAAAAGAACCCGTATGTGTGAGAGGCAAGCCCAGGCTTGTACTTCCACAGCCACCTGTTTACAGAAGCTTATAGATGCCACCACAAGTGGCATGGTATGAAGGGGCCTCCAGCCAGTGAGCAGAGCCTGTTCTTGGTGGGATGTGCTGGCCTCAGCTCAGGGCATGAGTCTTCTCCTCCCATCTAATCTAACCTAACCTACAGAATGGATGGGAGAATGTGGCCAGGTGTTATTCCAGCCAGAAGGAGGAAGGCAAGCCACGCATCCACATTCACCTCACTCATGCCATAAGAACTTACCTGACATCCACAGAAGAAAGTAAGAGAGATGCACTAGATGATTCAACTCAACAAACATTGACCTAGCATCTTCTAGGCTGGGCAATAGGGGTGTACAAACAGTAGTCTCTGCCCTGAGGGTTCACAGTCCAATGGAGGAGGCAGATAGGCAAACAGAGAGAAGGGTCAGAGAAGGTTTTCCAGAGGAGATGACTGCCAGGCTGTGCCTTAAACAAGGAATAACTTGCCCAGTGAAGGCAGAGGGAAGAGTAGGTGCCAAGGTGGAATGGCAAATCAACATGGTGTGTTTGGGGGCACCACAAGCCCTCAAACTCTAGTAGAGTGGTCAGCAATCCACTTGGGCATTAGGATCAGACAGCCTGAGTGTGAATCTCCACTCCACCACCGACCAGCTGTGGAAATGTCAACAAGTCACTTAACTTTCAAAGCCTCGGTTTCCGTATGTACAAGATAGAAATCATTATAGTACCTTTCTCATGGGGTAGGTTGTGAGAATTAAGTGAAATAATGCATGTGACATGCTCAGCAGAGTACCTGGAAAATAGCCATCCCTCAATATGTATTAACTATTATTATTATTACTAACTCCATGGCCATTATTATTATTGGGACAGAGAGTGCAAGGGAAAGAGGGAAGGTGAGGGATGAGACTGGAGAGGTCAGTAGGGATCAGGACACAAGGGAACAGGAATGCCATGTAGGGGAGCTTGGCCCTGATCCTGTAGGAACAGCAGAGTCAGAAAGAGATTCCAAGCAGAGAAGACTTGAAGCCAGACATGCCTCTCTGAGATTCCTTCTGACTTGGTGTTCCACACCCCAAAAGAGGAGGCTGGGCCAGAGGGACCCTCTAACAGTGGTCACATTGCATTCGAGAATAAGCAGCCCTCGGTGTTGTGGTTCTCATTCTACAATACCCCAAGAGTGTGGGCTGTGGGCTGAAACAGGCAGAACAAGGACACTAGTTGGAGGATGACTGAGAGACGGGACCAAAAGAATGGCAGATGGCCTACCAGCCCTCCTCCCCAAAGAGACCTTTGGACCAGAGCCTCTTTATGGGTTGAGGGCAGAGAAGGATGACAACTGCCCTCCCTGCCCCCCAACTTCTAGCAGTGAGCTTCTTCAGACAGCAGAGGGAACCCTTCACTTAACTTTCAACCAGTCCGGGCCCCACAGCTCTATGAGGAAGGCCAGGAGGGATTTTCTCAGGCCTGGGCAGAGAGACCAATGGAGAAGATTGTTAGCCCAAAAGATATAGCCCAGAAATTCAGTGAGCAAACACACCCGGGTGTGGCCGCTTCCCCTGAATGGGCCTGTGGCCACCTAGTCTCTGATGGATGGAATGAATGATCACATCTGGTGACATCATCCAAAAGATGTCAAGGTCATGTCATAGATCTCCCAGTTTTACAGACAAGGGAAACCAAGGCCCAAAGAGAGGAAGGGATTTGCCCAGAATAAGTTGAATCCATGAGTCATTGTGGAAAATGTATAACTTCGTTCTTTGCATACAAAATAGTTACTATAATAGGAAGAAGCTAAGCCACCATCACCAGAGAATACATTAAAAATACTTTTATTTCTTAAATACCATAATGACATAAACACTGTCTTTTCCCCCTGCCAAAAAAGTTTCAGATAGCAGGATCCCTGCTTAGATCTCTTCAATCCTATATCCTCTTAAAATTGAACACAACAATGTGTTTAGTTTCACTGTCTAGCGAAGTGGCCTCCAGGAGGAAACTTGGCCTCAGGAATAAGACAGACGTGGGGGTAAATCTCAATGTTTTCATCAACTTGTTTGGCCTTGTACCACTGACCATGTCTGGGCATCAGGATTAACCTTGCAGAGTTAGTCTGAGAATTAGATTAGCTGAAGTATGTAAAAGTACACAGACCAGTATCTAGTGCACTCTTAAGGGAAGAATGGCAATAATTACTATGAGCGTTATCGTTCTGACTACCACTGCCTGGCTGAGTGACGTGGGACAATGTACTTAATTTGTCTGGTCCCCGGGCTTTTTTCCATTTGTCAAAGGGACTTAATAATACCTCTCTCATTGAGTTGCTGCCAAAATTAAGTGAGGTGAAATACTTAAAGTGACAAGAATAACACCTGGCACATATAGGAACTCAGATCATGTTTGTCCTCTTCCCCCAACTTCCACAGTCTTGCGTAAAAGCCCAAGTGGAAGCAGTCAATTAACAAAAAAAAAACTCCTAAGGTACTTGATGGCAAAATGAGAAATGAACAGGTTTGCCTTTTGCCCCCCAAATGAAAACAGAAGAGTAATTGTCTCCATCAAAGAGTTGTGGAAAAAGATCTGACGTCTCCAGTTCCCAGAGCAAAGATATTTAACATGCGATCTCCTTATTTGTAGGAAATTGCTCGGAGGACATCTTATGTATCCTAGAGAAAGCTCCGTTCAAGAAGTCATGGGCCTACCTCCAAGGTCAGTAACCAAATCCAGGAAGCCTAACCATGTGAGGGCCACTTCCTGTGGCCTTTCTGAAACTTTTAAGCCAGAGGTCACAAGTAGAAGCCCACGCCAAGGGGGACCTGCAGATGTGTTCTGCAGATAAAGCTGCACGATATTTTATAATTTGAATTTAAATGCCTTCGGGGGAAAGGGGAGAGTGTTACTCTTCGAAGCTACAAGGCTGCCCTTTCCTCGGCATCACTGACTCCCTAATGCTGCCTACCTGGCCTCTGAAGGCATCTGTGTTCCACCCCCACCACTTCCGTCTACTCAGCCATGTACGAGCTGTGGGCCAAGTGCACAGTACTCTTCCTCACGCAAGGGAAGCAGGCTCTTAATCTCTGCCTCTATCAAGTTATTCACAGGGGAACCACAAAATTGCCTTGTCCCAGATTGACGGCTTAATGAACATGTTGGCACAGGGCCTATTTGCATACTGCAGCACACTTCAGGAAAGAGGCCTCTCATAAGTGAAATAATCAGAGGCCCTCACACTGGGAAAGAGGAGATATGGAGGAGATAGCCAAGATCCGCTGCATAGCCATTCTGCTCATTTAAAAAATTCAATTTTGCAGTTAGATTAGTTCTCACTCTTCAGTTGAATTGCAACAAGGTTTAAAGGGAAGGAATGGAAGTAATTAAAACTAACACGCCAGCTTCCCAGTTCTGAGAGTCACCCTGACAAATTAGTGCTGATTTTCATTTTAGGACTCAGAGAAACTTGGCTTCTGACACAAACATGTCAGAAGTCATGTCAGCTTAGAGGGTCTGCTAATTCTCTGCTTTTCTAATACTCCTAGCTGAGAAGAGCCCCTTAATGTGCACTTGAGGAGTCTATACAAATATGTTTGACTGCCCTTTGTTGTTTTTTGTTTTTGTTTTTTGAGGAAGATCAGCCCTGAGCTAACATCCATGCCAATCCTCCTCTTTTTGCTGAGGAAGACTGGCTCTGAGCTAACATCTATTGCCAATCCTCCTCCTGTTTTTTTTCCCCAAAGCCCCAGTAGATAGTTGTATGTCATAGTTGCACATCCTTCTAGTTGCTGTATGTGGGACGTGGCCTCAGCATGGTCAGACAAGTGGTGGGTCGGTTCGCGCCCGGGATCCGAACCCAGGCCGCCAGTAGTGGAGCGTGCGCGCTTAAGCGCTAAGC